CAAGTGCGTTTGCATGTGGTAGAACAATGCATAGTTTGTTCAGCAAATCGGAGTAGTCCAAGGGGATGGTGGTCTCCGAAACGAAGAGAGATGTTGCTCCAGTGGGATAGTTATCCAGGAGGGATAGATCCCGGTTTTCCAGAGGGAGAATCATGTGCAACAGACCATACATGTTGAGGAGTACCTCAAAAACAACAACTCCACAAAGCTCAATGGATCGAGCGATCGGTGAGGAGTCGTCGCGTGATCTCGCTTGAGAGAATGCATTGGTGGATGCATTGCGAGATCAAGTGGGGAGTGACCCAAAGCAACACAAATGAAGGCACACTTGGAGTCGATATGAAGATCAGACTCAAGGGATGGCTGACCCATGGAATGGTGGGCGTGAGGGCCACCATCAATCAATGCAAAACGAGGAGCGGAGTAACTTGGGTGTAACTTGGCGAAGTACCCAAGCCGCATAAAGTGAGCCGGCATAGAAGATGGAACATGGAGCGGAGGCACAAAGCTTTCCTTGGACAGAGGTCAAGGACATGAACTCTTGTAGAGGCAAGAGCAAGATCATGTTGTTCCATGGGTCCTTCATTCTGATAGAGTGGACTCATCTTGCATGGTGCCAAAGATGAAGGGAGCGTCTGGGCACATGCACCTTATCTCGGAGAAGCATTTGTAGAGGAACTAAGGCGACTCAACTTGCGGAGGCGAAGTTGGGTTCAGAAGGCCTTGGCATAGGGCAAGAGGACGCGGAGGTGAGTACTCTTGAAGAATATGCCATAGTGTTGCCATTCAAGTTGCCATGAAGGAAGCGGTGCGCAGCGGAGATTGTGCTGGTAGGGGTAGAGGCCCAGGATCCAGACAATGGTGCACCATTTTCAGCGAAGTCGGTGGACTTCGGGAGCTACTAGGCGACGGACTGTCCTAGAGCGGTGCTTCATCTAGGTGTGACCCAAGAGCGGGTGGATGAAGGTCGATTGCTAAAGGAGCGAACAAAATCGAAGGTGGAAGAGACCTTGTGATGTATTGGCAGAGGCCACACATGGAGGGATCACAATTCGAGTTCATCCCACAAGGATCAGAATGCAATAGAGATGTCACCAGGAGACGACATGGTGCAACGGATCGTGGTGGAACAGTTCGTGGCAACGCGATACACACGACATAGTCCCGTGAGGGACTGTATCATATGGAGGTATGATCGGGAGCTACTGGAAGCTCCACTTCGGTGAACAACACAACGACAAGATGGGCTATGGATTCGAGTGAAGGCCATGGTACCGCAGAGGCGGGTCTTCCGTGCGTGCATCGAATTTTGCATCGGATGAAAGCCTTGGTCATCAGCATATGGGGGTTGTGTTCCACCAAGGGAAAAGTTCGAATGCAAGTACCAGCGAGTCCCATGGGAGGGACTCGATCATGCAGAGGTATGATCGAAGCAGCTGGAGAGTTGGACTGCTCTAGAGACCATATTTGCTTAAGGGAGCCCGGGAAGTCAGAGGACAAGGTCGAGTAAGCAAACGTTGCTACCAAGGAAGCTAAGGAGAACAGAATCGGTGCAAACCCTACAACGTGATGGTAGAGGCTATGCATGGGAGTTGCAGTCTGTCTTTCCATTGACCAAACGAAGCTGCTTGGAGAACACAGAGGTGTTGAAGCAAGGGGTCGAAAGGGGCGAGGAAGCGACGACGAGTCCAGAGGGACTTAGTTACCCAAAATCAAGCATCAGTTAGAATAGAGGTGGACTCGAAGGAGTGTCACAGAGAGATATCTACTGATCGTGAAGAAAAGGGATGCAGATGCAAAGCAACAGATAGTAGGACCATGGGCATGGCAGCACCATGGTACCGCAGAGGCGGGACTTCCGTGAAAGTCATTGATCCCTTGCTCTCATGGAGGGAGAGCGCTTGGTCGTGAAAGGGGCCGAGGAGGTAGAGCATGCAGAGGCAAACTCCAAGTACCGAGACAAGGCTGAAGGGTAGAGGCCAAGGAACTTCGTAAGACCGGTGTCAACGAGCTTCTTATCAAGATAGCCGAAAGTGAAGGACTTCGGGTCATGCAGTACGCGATGTTGTACCTTTGCTACTCAGTGGAGTAGGCGGCAAGGTTGATGGAGAAGGCGGTACAATCCCAGAGGCGACCAAATCTATTAGAGAATTACTCCAAGTTGGGGTGAAAACTTCCTGCATTCCGGAAGTTTGATGGCATTGAGAAGGTGAATCACAGTAATTAACTCAATGCAAGGAGTGCAAACACTTCGAGCGCTTTAGAAGTGTGAGCAAAGAGCAGACGAAGTTCAATAACCAGCTCGATGCATGAATTACAACCATTGAGGAGGCGAGCGAAGTCAAGTAACCATTACCTTCTCAACTCTTAAGAGAATGGGCGAAACCGAGTACCCCAATTCTCTTATCTATTCAGCAGAGGAGCGCTGCACAGGTTCAAAGACCCTTCGAAGATAATGAAAGACAATAGTTGTTAAATCCTCATCAATGGTGATCAGTGCTACTGAGAGTAGATTATCCGCTTCATTTCCCAATAGAATGCCAATCGAAAGCGGAAGTGATGCGAATCTACTTGGAAGTGACAACTAAATGAAAGAAGAGTCGATCGACATTTTGTGGAGGAAGGACTCAAAACTTTGAAAGTTTGCAAGGCAATGCTCGTTAAAGCTCCAACAAGCATCCACCCAGTTCAAGCAGCATGAGACATTTGAGAGACTAGCGCATAGTAAGGATGGTCTTTTCCTTCATCTGGAGGATCCGCAGGAATCAACAAGGATCAACACAACTCAGCCAACCCCACACTAGAGTCAAAGTCATTGGCGAGTTGAAACAACATAGCGGATCAAAAGTTCGACTACTCAATAACAGCAGCGGAGAGCAGCTGGGAGTCAAGAGGTACATTGCAGCTGGAGCAGAAGATTGAAGACTCAGCAAAGACGAGGAGTTGCAATGTCGGCAAAAGGCTTCGACGAGGACGACGAAGGAATAAGTGGGGGAGAATGTCACGGACAAAGTTCTAAATAGGATGTTTGATGTAATATTTATTTATGTCTGTGTCTTTTGGTTTGTTCATGTTTTGAACAGCATGTAGAGGGACGGTCGAAGGTTTAAAAGCCCTATTTTAGTTGGGTTTGGTGGCCTTCTTAGACTTGTAAATAAAGGTTGTGTCATGTGGATACTTGTGAGAGATATTCGGTATGTAGTGGACCATTTTGACAATTTGTTGTGCAACCGTTTAGAGCTTGTAAAGTCTGTTTGTAATTTGCATTGTCTATGAAGTGTTTTCGAAAATGTTTGCTTGTGGATCCCGAGTGAGACGTTTTCTCTATAACCCGTTTCCTCTTTTGTAGGTCCTAAGGGACCATGGGAGGCTTCGGAGAGGCTGACCTTTGCGGACGGACACGCAAGGGTGCCGCACGACTTAGGCAAAACCAACTATGTCTGTGACTGAGCGATATTATTCGAAATTTTATACCTTGTAACTATTAGTCTTATATGGAACTTTGAGTATTCTGCTAATGATTTTTGTAGTTCATCTGTATTGAAGTCTGTTATGACTGCTTTGTCTACGCATGCTATATCTTATTTCTTGTCTTATTATTATTTTTCCTTCAAAAGATCTGTCTTATATGGTGAAACTTCTTTCTTTATCTGTCTTTTCTTAGAACCTCCCCTTAACAGTTTTTCCATTGTATTTTGAGTATTGATTTCTTTAAATTGGGTTTCCATCTTTTGATCCACTGGATGCTTTAAATTCTATATGTGAAAAGTCTAGTTTCTTACGTTTAGTTAGTCTTGATGTTCCTGAAGGGATTTTTAGTTTTTCTAATTGCAATTGTTCTAACTTTTGTATTTTTCCTATAAGTTCTATTTTGGTTTGGATTAAATATTCTAGTATTGTATTCAGGATAGCTGCTTAATTTTGATTACTATTTTTCTCATATCAGGCTATATCAAAATCAGTTGCAGGTATTTTTTTTTAATGGTTTTTGTATGACTTTTGTTAAAGTTCTATCTTCCTTACTCATGCATAATTTTATTGATCTTTTTTATTTGTATTTGTAGATTTTTAATTATTTATTTGATATTTTCTACTTCAGTTTGTAATTTTATCACTAGTTCTTTAGTTTCTTGTTCTATTACTTTAGGATCTGAGATATTTATTGCTTCTAGTGCCTTTTTCAATTCACTTTTATTTGGACTTTGTTTCTACTGCCTTATTCAATTCTCTTTTTTTGGACTTTATTTGATAACTTCCACTGCTTCTCTGATTTGTTCACTTATATGGTCTATATTTCCTAGTAAGGTTTGATTATTATGACTTGACTCTCTAGCTAGATCAATAAGTTCTGAAATTTCTTTATTAGTCTTCTCTTGTTCTTGGAGACTTTCTGAGAGATTTATGATACAATCTTTTATCAGATTTTTTATAGGTGAACCTTGAAGACTATGTACTTGATGTTCTTCAGGTATTTGATAGTTTAATTTCTACCCTCTTTCTAAATTACTTTTTATTTTTGTTTGCTTTTTAATTTCTAAATCCAAATAAGATAAGCGATCTATATTGAAAATTTTAATCCTAACTATTGATTGCTTTGATACCAACAAAAAACAGCAACAAATAAAGTGTAAAAACAGTAAATAATAACTACTGCAATGACTATTATGAATAGCACAACTATAGCTATATGAGCATGCACAAAGATTGTAAACCCTAACCTTATTTTTTTTTTCTATTATCTTCCTTTTATTATCTCTTTTCTATTCTCTCTCTACCCCTTTATCATCAAAAGAATCTGCTGCTTCTCGTCTTACATCATATCCTTGATGAAATAGTGGAGCTTCACATTTAGCTTGGAGGTCCGATTTCTGTTTGTTTCTTTTCCTTCTTGTCAATGGAAATGTATGTGTAGGCCAGGCTATGTTTGGTTGTTTTTCTTAAAATGGCCTGGTCTGTTTGCTGCAGGCACATATGTACTAAGCATTTTTTTCATTACATAGGGATGCAAAAAATGATCCAGTTGGGCGACAGGCATATAGGCTTCTAACTAGCATCCACGATATCTTTGAACAAATCGTGGAGAAGATTCGTGCAACTGACAAAGCTAGAAAGGAAGGTGCTGAGCAAGAGAAGAAGCTTGCAGCCATTTCCTCCCGTAATTTTGACATTCAGAAACTCCAAGCAGATCTTGATTCTATCAGGAAGGAAAATGAATTACTAGAGCAGCAACTTTACCACAATTAGTCAGCAAACTTTTCATGTATCATGTCAGGTTCACTGTATGCTCCCTGGTGCTAATTTGTTTAGTTCCTCTCTGATGTTGCTCTTATTTGTATATGATAA